TGAAGGGAGACAAGCTTGGGAGACAAGGCGGCAGCGGCAGCCAAAAGCAAAATCATGACGGGAGACAAGCTTGGGAAACAAGGCGGCAGCGGCAGCCAAAAGCGAAATCATGAAGGGAGACAAGCTTGGGAGACAAGGCGGCAGCGGCAGCCAAAAGCGAAATCGTGAAGGGGGACAAGCTTGGGAGACAAGGCGGCAGAGGCAGCCAAAAGCGAAATCATGACGGGAGACAAGCTTGGGAAACAAGGCGGCAGAGGCAGCCAAGAGCGAAATCGTGAAGGGAGACAAGCTTGGGAGACAAGGCGGCAGCGGCAGCGGCAGCCAATTTCCGCAATCAGGAACCCATCCAGTGAGAAGTAAGAACCCCTATAGCTTCGCTCTGGGGAAAAACCCAAATCGTGAAAACTGAAAAGTTGAGAAGACGAAGAAGTTGAAGAGTACAGCCTGTTGTCCATGCAAATTGATCTGTGTTGAGTTCTACCTGTATCGTGCAGAATCCATCTGCGTCCATGCACCTGCCATTCATTTATTCCCTTGATACTATATATATATACATGTATATATCTATCTGAATCTGCCCATAAGCGTCTACATGGATTGAACTTCAGGTGTCCATGTTGCCTATCCACACATTCGCATACATCCAGCGCTACCTTGTACATGTTCATGTATGTAAACCTGCCCTTGTTGGATACATCAATTAAACCGTCGGTGTCTCCTTGCTCGTCTGTCTTGCTCAATTTAACTTTAACTCTGTCTGTCCATCTATCTCATTAGCCGCCTCTTTCTGTTCAACATATGAAAATATGTGTCCAAGCCTACTATCCTCCCGTGAACCAATCTACCAAGACCAAAAACGTTGCCTTGCGTGCCCGGCTGGTCTCAGGCAGGATTGTTGGCTTGGCACGGTAGCTCGTTGGTTGACAACTTCACTTTTTTTTGAACTTCTACTCAATGTTGCTTCCCCCAAGACAGTCACATGCTGGCTAAAGTTCTCTCCAGTGTGTGGCCCACGGTGATGCTGCAGAGGCACAATTATATAACAATTCGCTCAAGCAGCACTCATTCTTTCTCCATTCTTCGAGGTC